GAGGATAGGGAGGGACTTATTAATGGGGGGGAAAAAAAGGAAGAAAGACAGAAACTATTCAAAAAGAACAAAATCAGGGGAAATCAGAAGTGGGTATGAGATCTAGCTAACACCGCACGGGTGAGTCTAAGTTGGCACGTAAAGTATTGCACATCCTACAAAAGCCAAAGCATGGAAAGGGACAATTGTTTGGAAAGAACCAGTTATTTCAGAATTCCTCAGTCTGAAATACAAGCACAGAACTAATACATTCCTATTGCTCCAAACGTATTTTTTTATTATTATCATTTTTTTTAGTGTTAGTTGAATAGATCCAGTCAGTTTAATAGCCCCTGCTTCCTTATTAACCACAAATGTGTATGCGTATGGTTTTACTTGAGATTTTTTTTTTTCCCGAGTACGCGTGAAGTACGGAAATAGTGGTACGACTGTGAACTAAAAATCTGTAATTCTTTCTATTCCTTTACCATCAAAGCTTAAAAACAAAACGGGAAACAAAAAGAAACAATAAACTGCAAGTGCCCTGAGCAGAGTATATGGAAGATTAAGCAACTTCTCTGAGCAGAAATATTAGCAAATAAGCACTAACTAAGCAGTGTGACTGTGAGAAGAAACCCACTCAGCTATTTGGTAGCGCGCCGAGAGGTTAATAAAATTCAAGGAAATTCAAGAAAAGTTTCAAGCTATTTTAAACGTATTTCAACTTTTTGGTGCACCCCAGAATATGGTATAAAAACAATTAGTTCTGGTGTGAGCTAAATTTCAAGTAACAAGTCACAGAGTCAAAGCTGGGGTTTGGGGTTAACATTTCTTCTCTTAAATAAAAGCACTGTATTTTAGGGGAGAGGGAAAACAAGATTTTAAATAAATTTGCTTACTTTAGGTTACTGTGTTTCTAATGACGGACTTTTATTTCCTTTTCTCCCTATCAGTACAGCTTCTTCAAAACTACCTGAAGGATGCGAACTCGCCAACCGAAAACAACGACACGAACGCTTGCTCACGTAGGGCCCAAGCGCAATCCCACTGCAATCAACGGGATCTTTCTAGTGGCAGCAACAGGCTTTAGCGCTCAGCCCCGAAGTACTTCATACTTGCACCTCCCCGAGGCTTGTGCAGGAGGCTGGGTGCACAGCACCTCAAAGGATCCGGCCCTACCTGGGGAAAGAAAAGACCGAACGGCATGAATCCCCCCCCCCATCCTACTTGGTTTGTACTAAACTCTTGAAATCTCGCCTTTCCAATGGAAAACGATGCAATTAAAATAACAAATAATAATAATAATAAAATAACAATAGGTTTGTTTTCAAAACAAACAAACACCTTGCTTACGTATAGAAATGTTTCTTGTGGAAAACTCTCTCGGCATGTCTGAAGAAAAATTCTCAGAGCTGTCCCGGTAGGACCTGGTTCTGTGTGGCAGATATGGTAGAAAGACCAAAAATGAACTTTGAAAGGAACGTAACCCTATGAAATGGCCTAGAGCGTAGGCAGGTTAGTGAGTAATTGCTACATTTGTTTATGCTCTTTCAGACCCCCCCAACCCACAACATTATTAGGTAAAAACTGCAGGAATACCACACAAATGATAAACTCAAGATGTGCAAATTGCAAGATTCTTTAAAGTCCATCTTTTTCAAAAACACTGGACAATTATTTTTTTTTTCTCTTTCCTTTTTCCTTTCTCTTATTTTTATTATCTGTCAGCTCGCATATGCCTTTAACTCTTTCTCAAGCATTAAAGTTTAAAAAGTGCCTCCTATTAAGTAGTCCTTTGTGGACAATGACTGTCACATACTAGTTCAATAATTCACATTCATCCCTTTGAAACCACATTAAAACTTTCAGCATCTCGCCTGTGAGAAAACTTTACATAGTTGCATGTAGTTACAGTGTTGAAGAGATTCGTTTGTTTGTTTGTTTGTTGTTGTTGCTTTCTGAGCAGATTAAAACGAGATACAGTACGTACTGAGTGTTAGACCAGGATGCTCAGCAATAAAGTGTGAACAGCATTTTAAGTGCTTAAAGACATTCTAGGTTCATCTTCAACAGCGGATTCCTGTGTCACACCGAAATTTGAAAAAAGTGGCACCAGTTGTCCATAATCATGAACTAAAAACAGTACTAGAGTTAAAGATTTGCAACCTAACTGCAAACAATGGATGCCTGTGATCTCAAAGGGGCAGTATGCATCTACCTCGTGGAAGCAAATGTCAATGGCGTAACCCGGTTGATTTGTCTAACACTGCACAGAAACAGGAGTGAGCCTGAGCCAGGCGCATCCACAGAGCCCGAGGCCTCCTCGCGCACACCCACGCACACCCACGACACACGCACGCACCCACCCACCCACCCACCCCACCGCCGTGAAGGAAAACCCTGCAGGGCGACCGGTGCAAGAGTCCGTACAGCCTCCCCGTCTGCTGACTCTGGGCAATGGAACTGCACTAGCAAGCAGAAAGGAAATGTTGGTGTGGCAGTTGCTTTAGGAATAAAAATCAGTGCAGTCAGACCCCATGGGGGGAAAAATATATATATACATATACACACACACAAATATATATATATATATATATATATATATACTGTAGAGACTTGAGTAAGTGTTGGCTTGTTGTTGAAAACGTCAGAGACTGTCCGATCCTCTTCAGTAACACCCGTGGGTTGTGTCCTCAGCATCCACCTGGGGTGAGGAAACCTCTTCACCAACCCACCACAGAGCCGCAGTCCCTCCCCGGGACTGGCGTGCACACACACACACACGCACGCACGCACGCACGCACACGGACCCCACGCGTGACACACACTTCTGCTACAGTTCCTTTCTCCTCACCTCCCCCCCAAAAACTACAACAGGAACCAAATAAAAAAACCCAAAACAGAACCAAAAAAAGGTCGACGAAAAGAAAACAAAATCACAGCTGGACCCTGTCCTACACGAGGTGTTAGAAAACAGGAGCCATGACAACACATTCATTTCCACTAAGGGTGCGTGAAGCAGATACTGCCCCTTCCGTAGCTCTCGATAAACCTAGTCACTGACAAAACACTTGTGGAAAAACATATGCACCAGTCTCCTGCATAATACCAGCTGCAACTATAACAACAAGGTTATAACATAAACCTAAAATAAGATGATAACATGTAAATACTGGGTTATTTAGTCTACAGTACAGTAATCTGGATAAAAATGACAAGGGATAGCCTAATTTCCTTTCCCCAAACAACTTTTACTTTCCTAGGTTGGATCGACCTTCAATGCAAATCTTAACCTCCTGAGGAATAAAAGAAGGCTTGGGAAGAGTCAAAGGTGGCTCCTCTTCTGATTTCTCTAGTTTTCGTGTTTCGGGGGCTGACCACCTCCTCTTCCTTGTTGCGGGGGGCTTGCTGGGTTCTGTTTTGGTGAGCAAAGGTGCTGCAGGCAATCCTATTTTGTCCGGAAACTTCAGTTCACCGTTCTCAGCTAACATCTGTGCGCTTCCCTGATTAATCCCGTTTTCCTGCTCCGCATACCTGTGTCTACTTCCAGCTAGACTGTCATTCTTTGAATGCTTCAGCAAGATACTAGCTGAGTCCATGGGCTGGCCCTTTTTAATAGAGCCATTCTTCAGGTTCTTGAGTGTGAGAGATATGCAGACGTCCCCCACCGAGAGTTTGGAGCATGGCAAATCAAAGAGCTGGCTGGTTCTCTCGGGGCAGCAGGATGACCAGCCTTGTCCAAATACAAAAAAAGGGTATTCTACCAAGACTTCCACGCTGACCTGCAGAAAGACAGGGGACAACAGAGAGAGAGACAGAGGGAGAGAGAGGGGAGAGCGTGAGATCACCCGTGTGCCCTCGCGCGCACGCACGGCAGGCGGTGCTTGCCCCGGGGGACAGGGATAAAGCTGAAACCGCAAAAGTGCTGTTCCGTTTCCACAAAATCAGCACGTCGACCACCAGACTTCACGCCTGTCCTTGTCACACGGGTATTACCCGTTTCTCTGAGCTCAGTATTTCTTAGCACGAGACCTCAGCGGGAATCAAGCTTTACCTTTATCCAGCCGCTCACAGAGGCCTACGAGGCAAAACAGGTTGGGCATCTGGCAAACTCCGTCCCCCACCACCCCCTTGTGGTACCTAGCACCTGTCATCCATATCCAAAGACACTTTCCAACCGAAGATGGCTCAAGGGAAGCTCTCGGTTCTGACACACAATTTCCTAAATGACCACGGGAACGTCATCCTCACCTCTGCCCGAACGAGCGCGTACTTACCAGGGTGAAACGGTTGAAGGCATGCTGATTTCCAGGGGAAGGCCATGAGTATTACAGAGTTGTAACCATAAGAGCAGTGAGTGTGAACCCCAGCAGTCCTGTTACCAGCCCAGTGTCCTCCCTTCTCACACCTGCTCTCCCACTCTGCAGTTGAGTTCACCTCAGGATGAGGATCATCTCTCCTCCTCCTCCTCCTGCAGTTCCTGCACTGGGTCTCCTTTTCTGCACTGGGTCCCCTTTTCCCCCCACTTCACCCCACTTTAAAAATGCAGCTGGTTATGAATCCTACTTAACCATCTTACAGGGAGCTGCCATAGCCAGCAGAACAGATCAGCAAGAGGTGCCCACTGCTCCTTGACCTTGCAAATGCTGGGCCTTGAGGTCCCAACACGATAAAGCACCTAAATACCTGCTTATCTTTGCATGTGTCAGCAGTCCAGCGCTCACGGCACGGCGCTGCATCTGCAGGCTTCAACGCTTAATGTGGGCTCACACAATTCACATCCCACGGGGCCGAGCCCCCCCCCAGCACACCACAACGAGGGCAGGGAATTCTGACATAACTTTTTTAAAATTTGGCACGTGTTTTTAACTTGCTGTGTGTAACGCCAATGAGGTCTGCAACTCTAAGAGGGTGGCTTATGCTGAAGTCAGATATCCACTGCTCTGCTCCCATGGTCCCCATGTCCTCTGGAGCTCTTCTTGGGCATGGGGGGCAGGATCCTGCTCTGACGGTGTAACCCCTATATGGTAGGGGCTAAAGGGCAGCAGAACACCCGAATACATGTGCTCATCTCATTTCTGAGCCATTCAGCAAGAACGGAGCATGACAGCTGGCTGGACAGGCTTACCTCTACAGGAAAACGGA